GCGGGAATTCTCTTAAAATTGGGAACTTGCGGTTTTTTAAGATTTTCTGGAGATGAATTCAATTTTGGAGTAGAAAATGTAGAAGTGTTTGGTGAACCAAAAATGATTTTGCCTAAACAAATAAAAAGGATATGCAAAAATAAACTAGTTTGGACTGAATTAACACAAATATGGCGAAGTGACAATAATCGAGTAAAAGTTTTTTTTTTGAATTCGGTAAATGGAGGCTACGTTGTAAAAATTGCAGGTCATATAGTTTTCTTCTTCTTCTTCTTCGTCTTATTCTTCTTCTTCTTCTTCTTCTTCTTTGTCGTCTTCTTCGTCGTCTTCTTCTTCTTCTTCTTCAGGTGGTTGTGGTTCTGGTTGTTGTTGTGGTTGTTGCTCTTGTTGTTGTTGTTGTTGTTGTGCAGGTCGACAGCGTGGATCACGGTTATGGCGCCCGGGTAAGTGACGCAGGTATGGCCTCCGCCCCTCTTTTTCTTCTTCTTCTTCTTCTTCTTCTTCTTTCTTTTTCTTCGTCTTCGTCTTCTTCTTCTTCTTCTTCTTCTTCTTCTTCTTCTTCGTCTGGTTGTTGTTGTGGTTGTTTCTGTTGTTGTTCTCGTTGTTATTGTGCAGGTCGACAGCGTGGAGCACGGCTATGGCGCCCAGGTGCTTCTTCTTCTTCCTCTTCTCATCAAATATTGTTATGGATTGTTTTTTTTGCATCTTTTGCAGTGAAAGTACCTATGGTACCTGTTCATATTTAGTTACCTGAAGCTCGTCTAGAAGCAGCACCGATGGATCTGTTACCTTAGCGGGAATTCTCTTTGAATTGGGAACTTACGATTTTTGAAGATTTTCTGGAGATGAATTCAATTTTGGAGTAGAAAATTTAGAAGTGTTTGGTGAACCAAAAATGATTTTGCCTAAACAAATAAGAAGGATATGCAAAAATAAACTTGTTTGAACTGAATTAACACAAATATGGCGAAGTGATAATAATCGCGTAAAAGGTTTTTCTTTGAATTCAGTAAATGGAGGCTACGCTGTAAAAATTGCAGGTCATATAGCTTTCTTCTTCTTCTTCTTCTTCTTCTTCTCCTCCTCCTCCTTCTCCTCCTTCTCCTCCTCCCGCTGACGCAGGTATGGCCTCCGCCCCTCTTCTTCTTCTTCTTCTTCTTCTTCTTCTCTTCTTGTGGTTGTTGTTGTTGTTGTTGTTGTCGCTGTTCAGGTCGCTTGTGTGGAGCATGGCTATGGCGCCCAATTAAGTACCGCTGAAGCAAGTATGTGTTGTTGTTGTTGTTGTAGTACAGGTCGTCAGTGTGGAGCACGGGAATGGCGCCCAGTTAAGTACGGCTGACGCAGGTATGGTCTCCACCCCTCTTCTTTTTCTTCTTCTTCTTCTCCTTCTTCTTCTTCTTCTTCTTCTTCTTCTTCTCGTCAAGTATTGCTATGGATTGCTTTTTTTTGCATCTTTTGCAGTGAAAGTACCTATGGTACCAGTTCATATTTGGTTACCTGAAGCTCATGTACAAGCACCCACCGCTGGATCTGTTATCTTAGCGGGAATTCTCTTAAAATTGGGAACTTACGGTTTTTTAAGATTTTCCGGAGATGAATTAAATTTTGGAGTAGAAAATGTAGAAGTGTTTGGTGAACCAAAAATGATTTTGCCTAAACAAATAAAAAGGATATGCAAAAATAAACTAGTTTTGACTGAATTAACACAAATATGGCGAAGTGACAATAATCGCGTAAAACGTTTTTTTTTTTAATTTAGTAAATGGAGGCTACGCTGTAGCAATTGCAGGTCATATAGCTTTCTTCTTCTTCTTCTTCTTCTTCTTCTTCCTTCTTCTTCTTCTTCTTCTTCTTCTTCTTCTTCTTCAGGTGGTTGTGGTTCTGGTTGTTGTTGTGGTTGTTGTTGTKGTTGTTGTTGTTGTGCAAGTCGACAGCGTGGATCACGCCCCCAGGTAAGTGACGCAGGTATGACCTCCTCCCCTCTTCTTCTTCTTATTCTTCTTCTTCGTCTTCTTCTTCTTCTTCTTCTTCTTCTTGTGGTTGTGGTTTGGGTTTTTGTTGTTGTTGTTGTTGTGCAGGTCGACAGCGTGGAGCATGGCTACGGCGCCCAGGTGGTTGTGGTTCTGGTTGTTGTTGTGGTTGTTGCTGTTGTTGTTGTTGTTGTTTTGCAGGTCGACAGTGTGGAGCACGGCTATGGCGCCCAGTTAAGTACCGCTGACGCACGGATGTGTTGTTGTTGTGCAGGTCGCCAGTGTGAAGCACGACTTTGGCGCCCA